CAGAGCAGGGGCTGGAAGCCAGATTCGGTCCTCTTAGCCTTCTTCCCCAGTGTCCCAGCAAAACAGTCACCTCAGAGGAATGGCCCCACTTCTTTTTCAAAGCCAGGGAAGATCACGCTGTAGGTAGGAGGCCACACGCACACCCAGATCCCCTGGGAACATGCCACACAGGTACACACACACACACACACACACACAGAGAGAGAGAGAGAGAGAGAGAGAGAGAGAGAGAGAGAGAGAGAGAGAGAGAGAGAGAGAACACACACAGATGTCTGTGGGGAAAGGCATCTCCGGCCAGGCCCTTCACCAAGCTGTTGAAGTGTCAGTGTCCAGCCAGGATTACAGGTCTCAACCATTCCCAGGCCCCTGTGATTGCAGCCCACCTCCAACACTAACCCTCTCCATGACTGACCTTGGGCAAGTCGCTTCTCCTGCCTGGATCTTGGGCTCATGTCCCAACATGTAGAGGTTGGCCAAAATGATGTCAAGGGCTCTTCCCAGCCCTGACGTGCTTGGACTCTAAGATTGGGAACCCACCTTCTCCCAAGCCACTGGGATGCCTCCAGGAGTCGTTTCCTCCATTTTCCCCACTCCTTCTCATCCTGACCCCCACCCCCTGCCTTGGCGGAACTCCCAGGGGCTCACTGCCATTTGGCAAAGTCCATTAGAAGATGGCAGTGTTTTCCTGGGAGTCAACAGGAGTGGAAGTGGGTTAAAGACAGAGCTGGACACTGTCTACCCACTGCAGAATTCCGCTCTGAGGCTCTATTTCTCTCCAACAGCCAGGAGAGGAACACCCAGACACTACCCAAAGAGCAGGTGTGGTCTAGGGCCCGTCCCTCCACATCTCACTGCCACTTGCCCATAGTTTTACAGAAGGTTAGCTGTCTGTAAACCAGAGTGTCGTCTGTGTACACTTCTCCCCCTCTTCCCACACCAGGTCCCCAATTAGTACAACTTTCCTCTAAGTCCCCGGGCTCCTGCTTCACCCAGCTGGCGTCCTTGCTTCCGGCCTCATCCCCTCAGCAATAGCATCCCCCAGACAATGCTCAGCTGTCCCGGCCTGCTTCATCAAAGTCCACATGGCTCACCACTGCCCCAAGCTCCTTCCCGCCTCCACCTCCATGCCTGGCTCAACTCCTTACTTCTTACTTGGATGACCTCTCTCTATGGCCTCCAAATCATCCCTCAGAGAATGCTTAACATGTTTCTAACCAACAACACCTTCTCTTCTGCCTTCCCTTTGCTATCTAATCTAGCTCTCTAGGTCCAATTTAATACCCCCCACACAGACATACACCCATGCTAAGCCTCACAGGGCCACTGCCCTTGAAGACTTCAGCAGTGTTTATTGGTTAGATGACCTAGGTGACCCAGTATGGACTCTTTTAAATGTTTACATCCTAAGGAGTATGTTTTGTTTTGTCTTTTTAACCATGCTTCATTGTTAATATCCATGTAGGCAAACCCCATCTCTGTGATTTTGAGAGCTAGCAAGGTGCTCAACAGCTATGCACACTGGAGAATGCTATTGATGGGTTTAATGTGTGCAGAAATGACAGGCGGGACCCTTCCCTTCCAATCCTGCTGTTGCTTTCCAAACTGTCCATGGTTCTTACCTAGAGAGATGCTATAAGATAGAGCTAGCAGCTTAACACCCTTCTGCTGATATTTATACAGTGCTGGTCAAAAAGAAAGATACCACCCTAGACCAGCAATGCAATGCCTACTCCCTATCCCACTCAAACATCCCTGGGTTTATGTTTTTTTGTCACCTCTCACTTTGGCTTTGCCACCTAGCTGAAAGCTGTCCTTGGAGTAGTGATGGGATGCCTGGAAGGGCTCTATGTGACAACTTTGTTAGTCTGTTCCCGACCCATCTGCCTCCTTGGGAACACCTTGTGGCCAATCCCACTGGCTAAGACTGGGTAAATGACAGAGCTGCCCATTCAGTCAGCATCTAGTGACCACAATGTTGTTATCACTTGGTTGGATCTCAGCCCTCACAACTCAGTGTGCTTATCCAAACAGGGATTGTTAGCTCTGTGACTTTGAGCAGTGGGTACAGGGGAGGGGAGGGGAAGGGAGGGAAGGGAAGGGAAGGGAAGGGAAGGGAAGGGAAGGGAAAGAGAGGAGGAGAGGGCGAGGGGAGGGGAAGGGGAAGGGAGGAGGGGGGGGGGGGGAGGGGGGGAAGGGGGGGGGAGGGGGGGGAAGGGGGGGGAAGGGAAGGGAAGGGAAGGGATCTCCTGCCCAGAGCCACCAGGCTGATGGGCAGCAGACTCAGAAGGGGAAGCTAGCTCTTCTGACTCCACACTCAGGGCTGTGTCCTGCTGGCCTCTTGGCTGCTTCCTTTGCCTCCATATGCTATGAAGCCCAGGCCCAGGCAGGCAGAACTACCAAGTGCCCAATGATGCCAACTTGCAGGATGCTCATGAGCAGCCCTGATTGGTTGAAGGTCAGCAGGGTCCGACTTAGTCATTCACCTGGTTAGTCACATTCTCCACTCCCACCCCCTCATCATCTAGGGAACCCTTCCTTCCCTGCTCCCCAAGTTCACCAGACACAAATGGAAACTCTTTCCTTGGGAAACCTCGCCCTCCCTAGCTGTTGAGTCATCAAACTCCTCCAGGCCCCAGCCCCCTCTATTCATAGCCTAAAGCTGTCAGAGAAGGAAGGGGCCTGGGGATCAGCTGGAGCCATCACCCCCTCCTACAGAGAAGGGGTGGTAACAGGAGTCACGCAGAAGGGGTACAAAATCTGACTCCCAGACCCCCTGTTGCCTCAGTTATTACTTGTTTATTACCTGATTTGTTTGTTTGTTTGTTTGTTTTGCGATGCTGGGGGATGGAACTCAGGACCTCCCGCGTGCTAGGCAAGCGCTCTACCGCTCTACCACTGAACTCCATCATGCTATTTTTATTGCCACAGTAGCCACAATAGTAATGGCAGCCTCCCTTTATTATCTACGCTCTGGCAGGCTCTATCTGGACACTTCATTTGTATTCCCTTGTTAAGTTCTGCCAGTCCTCCAACGCTGACCTTATTACCCCCACTTTTCAGCTAAGCAATGGAAGGCTTTAAGTAAGCCACTCACCCATGGCCTCAGAACTTGAGAGTAAAGCACCTGTGCGGACTCAACAGCCCTGACTCTTGCTGGCAGTTTCTTACTCCATCTCAAACCCAGCACAGACCCTTAGGTTACAAGGAACCAAGATAACCAAGCTGGTTCACCCTTACCCAGGCACCCCAGAAGAGGGGAGTCTGTTGTAGCCTGTGGTTCTCGAATCACCTAATGACTCAACAGACAGATAGATCTGTGCCTGGCACCTGGTTGTCCCCGAGGCCTCCTGGGGCTCACAGGTGCTGGTTCTCTCACAGCAGGCCTGAGAATCTTTCCAGCTCTCAGGCAACTGAGAGACCAGGTGATAGATCTGTTGATGGAGCCCAGGCAGGAAGCCTTGCTGTTGCTTTCTGGCTCTGAGCCCTACCTCCTGCTGAGCACAGCCTCCTGTGGCTCACTATGCAGCATGGTGACCCTGCGACTGAATTCAAGCACGTGGCCCAAGAGGGAAACTGTGCCTTTTCTATCTTTCCCAGAAGTGACCTGCCACTGCCCAAATCACAGAGCCCTATAAAGAATGAGAGGTGATATAGGGAACTCCAACCACTCAGAGAGGTCAATAACCTGCCAGAGGTTACACTGCAGGTTGAGGGCTTGACAAAACCAGTGATCGACCTGTACTCTTCACACTGAGTTCTCAGCATTATCCTGCTCGTTGCCTATAGGCCAGCCCCTCTACCTTGACTCCGCAAGCCCTAACTTGAAAACCAGAACTCTCTGCTTCATCTCAACCCACCTTCTATCCCCTACCATGTCCTGCCCAAGCTATTAAATCTCTCAGATCTCATTTTGTCAGTTATAAAATGAGAATGAAATTATCAGCAGGAAATAATACTTTCATGCAAAGGACGTGCCTGGTAGAGTCGATAGTTAATGGTATTGTAATGTTTACTATCATTAATGTTACTGTTTGTGGAGTATGCCTTCCCCCATGGAGGGGCCTGCTCTGTCTCTTCAGGGTTACCATGGCAGAGCTACCTTCTTAAGGAATAGGGTCAGTGAGGTGAAGGGAGTGGGGGGGGGAGTGCAGGACCAAGAAGCTGCCACATCCCTTTGTCTTACCCTCCCAAGATCCTACCCCCCAGGATCCCCTTTTCCTTCCACTTGCCTGGAGCTTGCCTGGCACACAGGTTCAAGGGCTATGCCACCTCTTCTGAGCAAGCAGACCCTCAGAAAATTATTGAGGAAAAGGGAAGGTACCTGTGCTAGGAGAACTTGTTGTGTATTGGAACAAGGCAGAAAAAATCCTAGTTCCTCCCGATTCGGTTACTGATCCTCTGTGACCCTCAGTTTCCTCATCTAAATCTGGTGTATTTGGCCAGAGGTCCTCCCACTTGCCCATCCAGTTCCCACGCATTCCAGTGGGGAGCTGGAGGTGTTGGAAGGAGTGGAGGCGAGAACAGGACAAAAATAGTAGACACACGACTGGCCACAGTGGGGACAGGACAAACACAATAAGTATTTTCAAAGGAAAATATAAACAAGCACAGATGAATGTAATGTGGATCACCACTATAAACAGCTTTCAGCTGGCAGCACAAACCATGGGTCTGCAAGTCGATTTTATAATAATTTTAAAAAACCGAAAATGATTTCCCTGTAGCCAGCCAGCAGCCAGGGGAGAGAGCAAGCTCTAACAGAGGCCACGCTCTTGCCAGTCTAGGCAAACTTCTGCAGGAACTCAGGGTGGACAGGCCCTCTTCCACCCTGTATCCTGGCCGTGGGCTCAGGAAATTGACGTGTGTCTGCAACAGGCCAGGCAGACACACTGTTCACACTGCACGATGTTCACCACCAGTGTTCCCACACTCTGCTGCTCAAAGAGATTTGGAAATTTGCCTAAGACACTACAGAAATAAATGTCAGCCCCAGGACTCACCCCTGCCTCCCAGGCCTGTGTGTATGGGCAGCTCTGTGTGTATGGGCAGCTTTTCCGAGAGCCGTTCTTCCCATAGAGTCTCAGCGATTTCGGCTATGTGAACCTGTGTATGATAGAGAATGGGTGCCAGGGTGAATGCAGGGCAGTGGAACTATTGCACAGAGCAGTTTGCCCAAAGAAGAATTAGCTCAAACCTCTCCTGTGTTGTGTCCACAGAACTCGAGAAGGGGCTTGCTAAAGGTCACACAGTTAGCATCAGAGCTGGGCTTGGAGCCCTGTTTTCTGACCCCTCCGATAGCCTCTGGTCCTCAGAGAGCCACATGACAAATGCCTGTCGTGGCAGCACAGAGAGCGTTGAGCACCCAGCTGCCGGCCGCAGCCTCCCAGGCCACGCATGCTCTCTCGATGTTCAGAAACTGCCTGTGCTTGGACAGCTTCCAGGGGTCTCTCGGGACCTGCCCCTCACCTGGAGCTGCCCAGGCCCTGGCAACTGCCACAAGCCAATTCTTCACTTTCTCGTTTGCTAGTGTGCCTTAGCCGTGGCTGGAACCAGGCAAGGCCTCCTGGTCTGGTGGCCCCTTTGTAGCACAGACAAGCCAAAGCTGGCCTTTCACTCACTCTTCACAAAAGGCTTTGTTTGTTTGTTTGTTTTTTTCCAAGACACAGTCTCACTATATAGCTCTAGTTGTCCTGGAACTCACTATGTAGATTAGGCTGCTGGCCTCGAGCTCACAGATATTAAAGGTGTGCACCACTATGCCTGGCACAAAAGGGGTTTCTTACCACTACTTCTCTTTCCTCCAGTGACACAGCAAAGTCCCTTAAAAAGGAAATGGAAAGTAGGAATATGGCCTTGCTGCCCAGAACAAGAGCTCTATCTCTCTGTGTGTCTCTGTCTCTATCTCTCTTTGTGTCTCTCTGTCTCTGCCCGCCCCCCTGCCCACAGAGGAGCAGATGTTTCCCTGGGGAGTTTGTGACTGTCTGGCTTCCCATCTCATTGAGTCAGGTTTCACCTAGGGCTTCCCTAACTCAATGCTTCTCCCATGAAGGGTGTGAAGGGCTGGCCCCGGGTGCCCTGATTTAAATGCAGATTCTGAATCAGTAGCTGTGAAACAGCCTGAGAGTCTGAATTGATAACAAGCCCCAAGGGACAGGGATGCTAGAGGTCTATGAGCCACACTTCTTAGAATTCAATTAATCGTTAAGTCATACAAAGATTCCAGAAATATACACAGACATGGAATGACACCCTTCAGTCTGAAGGTTTTGAATACAACACATTTCTGAAATCATGAGAAAGGTCATCAGAATCCCATATCAGGGTCAAATCTCCTCCTTTCCAATGGCATCTTGTCTTGGAGAAAGAAGCATAAGAGGGAATGAGTCCAGTTGGAAGGGATTACAACAGAAGCTCATGGGCCCAAAGAGGAGGGTCTGCCCCAAAAGTAGCCCCCACACCGAAGGAACAAAACAGGCAGACAGCCCTCTGCCTTCCTCTCCCAAAGCCAAATGTGCATGCCAGCAGGCATTTTGATGAAGAAAAGGCTAGGGATGTAGCTCGGTAGTAGAGCACTTGCCTTGCATGCCCAAGGCCCTGGGTTTGATCCCCGCATCAAAAAAATAAGGACATCAACAACAAAAATTCTCCCCAAACTTGTTCTACAGGAAAGTAGCAGAGGGATGGCAGTGTTGAGCTAGAGAGTTGCACCGCTTGCACTCCTGCTGTTGGCAGCACCCACACCTAGGGGAGCAAAGACCTAAAGAACCCAGAAGCCTAGCTTCTGGAGTGCCCATGCGGTAGGCACTGTTGTTCTAATAAAAAGAAAGCTTTGAGCTGAAGGGCCCATAAGATGGGAACTGAAGGCTGTACCCTTCCCTGGGGCTCAGAGACGTTGGGCCTCATGACTGGGACAAACTATGGAGCCTGGACACCACATGCAGTAGCTGTATTAGGGAGGGGGGAAATGGGGAGCATGGGGAGGAGGGACAGAAAAGTCATGAAGGGCCTACCCCATGGGGACAGGGGCAACTGCTGGCCTTTGGTTGCTGTACTTCCCCTACCCACCCACCGCCCCCCCCCAAATTCCTGAGATATATAGAGAAGTATATACCAGTGAGAAATTGACTACTTCCTCCTGTCTTGGTCTGTGCCAGGGCGGTTAGAACAAATGGCGGTAGACTTTGTGTGGCTGAGTGGCTTAAACCACACTCAGTTATTTCTCACACTGTTGGTGTCTGAGAGATTCCAAATCCAGGTGCCCACAGCTTGGGTGTCTGGTAAGGAACGGTCTGCTTCCTGCTAGCTGGTTTTCAGTTGACCTCCCCACTGCTTGCCCAACTCAGGGACTGAATGTAGGGAGGACCTCACGCATGTAAGGCAAGTGTGCTACTAGGGCGCTATATGCCGGCTCTATTTTTGCTTTTAAAACAGGGTAACCAAATAGCCCAAGATAGCCCTGAATTTGCTCTACAGCCCAGGTAGACCTCAGGCCTACAATCCTTCTTCCTCAGAGTAACTGGGGTCACAGGCCTGGCTCCACCTTCTCTACAGCAGAAAGAGGGAGACAGGCCTGTCTCTTTTTACAAAGCCACTAATTCCACTGAGAAGGACTTCATCCTCATTGCCCAACGCCCCTCCTCCAAACATCAACACACTGGGGATTGGGTTTGAACGTGTGGATTCGGGAGTCTGTGGCACTGTCCAGTGTCCCCAAGGGCAAAACAGCGCCATCTCCTCTTTAGAAGCCGTAGCTGGGAAATCATTTCCTCAGTCAAGAAGGAGCTGTGCCTCACACGGGCTGGGTCCAGGCAGGAAAAGCCAGAAGAAACCCCATCACATAGCTCCCCAAGACACTCAGCCTGTTGCACCAATATGATGTAGAATACAGATGGCAGTTGAAGTTTCTTTACCCCTGAGCCCAGCAGGTCCCCTGTGTTTGCAAACTTAAAGGGACACTGATAACCTGGGAGGTGGGTCAGAGGGAAAAGCAGTGTGCTAAGTGAGGGGGCACTTCCTTCCATTGCTGTGATAGACACCATGATCAAAAGCCACTTGGTGAGTGAAGAGTTTGTTTGGCTTATAGATTATAGGCTGTTGCTGAGGGAAGTCCAAAGCAGGAACGCAAGGCAGAGCTGGAGGTAGGAGCTGAAGCAGAGACCATGGAGGAGTGCTGCTTCCTGGCTTGCATCTCCTGGCTTGCTCAGTTTCTTCTACACTCCAGGACCACCTGTCTAGGAGTGGCACTACCACATTCTGTGCTGGGTCTGCCCACATCAAGAAATGCCCCACAGACATGATTATGGGTAGTCTGATAGAGGCGTTTTTCAACTAAGGTTCCTCTTCCAAGATAACTGTAGCTTGTGTCAAGTTGTCTAGAAAACCCTCCAGGACAGAGGGTTATGGAGAAAAGAAACCCCCTCCCTTCAGATCCCTGCCAGGCTATTGGAAGGGAAAGGACCCAGTTTGTTTTGAGTAGATCCATGGGGTTGAACCCACACCAACAGGAAGAGGCCATAGGAAGACAACTCTGTTTAACATAAGGTGGGTCCTGTTAAAGTTAAAGCTGGCCAAAGATAGTTTGTGCTGCCTCAAGAGGTGTAAGGGAGCAGGGAACAGATAAGCAGACACTGCACGTACCCACCTACCCACCCACTCCCACTGCATCGCCCTACCCT